CTGATGACGATTTTTGATTTCTCTTTTCTACTTTCTGCTTTCATTTTCTCATTCTGATTTACTATTTCTGTTTTTTTATTTAGATTCATTTTTTCAGAATCTGATTTTTATATCTGAATTCTGATGACTTACATCTGATGCCTGATGACTGATTTTTAATTTTAAATTCGAATTTCTAATTTCTAATCCCTGTTTCTGCTTTCCCCTATCTACTTTGTAAATTTTTGATGTATGATTTTAGTTTTCTGGATTAAGTATTTTTGTCTCCAGAATCTGATTTTTTAAAATCTGAATTCTGGTGCCTGATATATGATGTTAGATGTATGCCTGATGTATGTCAGATGACTGATTTTTGATTTTTTAGTTATAATTTCTAATTTCAACTCTGCATTCTGCTATATGGTTTCTGATTTCTGATTTCTGTTTTCTTGATTCAGCTTTCTTTTTCCAGAATTTGATTTCTGATTCCTGATATTTGATGTCTGATGATTGATTTTTGATTTTTCATTTCTAATTTCTACACCCTATTTTCTGCTTTCTGCATTCCCCTTTCTACTTTCTGCAGTCTGCTTATGATTTCTTTCTGATTTATGGTAAATGATTTCTGGATTCAGATTCCTATTTCCAGATTCTTATGTTTTGTATATGATTTCTGATGCCTGATATTTGATGTCTGATAACTGATGGCTGTTTTTTAATTTATAATTTCTACTTCCTGCTTTCTGCTTTCTGCTTTTTCCTTTATGATTCCTGCTTTCTGCTGTCTGCTTTTTGTTTTCAGCTTTATGATTTCTCATTTCAAATTTCAGATTTCTGTTTTCTAGATTCAGATTTCATTTTCCAGAATCTGATTTTTTATATCTGATTTCTGATGCCTGACATGTGAAGTGTCTGATGAGTGATGACTGATTTTAATTTTTTTGTTCTAATTTCGAAACTTCTGCTCCCTTTTTTCTGCATTCTGCTTTCTGCTTTAAGATATGCTTGCTGCTTTCAGCTATCTGATCCTACTTTTTACATTATAATTTTTGATTTCTGATTTCTGATTTCTGTTTTCTGGATTCAGATTTCTTTTTCCAGAATCTGATTTCTAATGCCTGATTTGATATTTTATTTCTAATTTATAATTTCTACTCCATGCTTTCTGCTTTATACATTCTGCATTTATTTATATATGTATTACGTCAACCGACGTAGACTAGCACCAATACTTTTACAGATTTTTTTTATCTTAAATAAATTAACATAAATTTATTTGAAAAAAAAGAGAAAAAAGTACAATTTTGTCTTAATAGTATGCGAAATAAAGAATAAAATAAAAATTAACCAGTGTCTGCTGTTCTATCATTCTTCTGCCTTTCGCTTTCTTCTGTCTGCTGTATATTTCTTTCTGATTTTGATTTCTTGATTCAGATTTCTATTTCTAGATTCTGATTTTTTTATATCTAATTTCTGATGCCTGACATCTGCTGTCTGCTGTCTGATTTTCTACTATTGAATTCTAATTTCTAATTTCCATTCCCTGCTTTCTGCATTTTGCTTTCTGCTTTCTGTTTTCTGCTATCAGCTTTCTGCTTTATGATTTTTCAATTCTGATTTATGATATCTGTTTTCTGGATTCAAATTGTTTTTTTTCACAGATTCTGATTGTTTTTTCCAAATTCCGATTTTTTATTCATAATTTCTGATGTCTGATATTTCATATTTCTAATGACTGATTTTTGGTTTAATATGTTTGCTTTCTAATTTGTAAACACTGCTTTCTGCTACCTGCATTCTGCATTCCGCATTCTCCTTTTTCTTTATGATTTCTGTTTTCTGGATTCAGATTTCTTTTTGCAAAATTGGATTTTTTATATTTAATTTCTGAAGTCTGATATTTGTTGTCTGATGATGTTAACTAGCTTTCGATTTTTTTATTTCAAATTTCTAACGTCTATTTCCTGCTTTTTGCTTTTTGCACTCTGGAATGTACTTTCTGCTTTATGATTTCTGCATTCCGCTTTCTGCTATCTGCTATTTATTTTATGATTTATGATTTCTGTTTTATGGCTTCAGACTTCTTTTTCCATAATCTGATGTTCTATGTCTGGTTTCTGATTTGATGTCTGATGTATGTTATTGCTGCTGACTGATTTTTTATTTTTTATTTCAAATTTCTAACGTCTACTCCCTGCTTTCTGCTTTCTGCACTCTGGATTCTGCTTTCTGCTTTCTCTTTTATACTGAATGATTTCTGCTTTTTGCTTTATGATTTCTCATTTCTGATATATGATTTCTGTTTTATGGATTCAGATTTCTATTTCTGGATTCTGATTTCTGATACCTGATGTCTGATATATGTCTGAAAACTGATTTCTGATTTCTGAGCAGAGTTGGTAACGGTCAGTTTGGTCAGTGACGTTTGACGAAAACCAAAAATAAATTGTCGTAGTACAAAAACCATCATTTCCATACATCCTTCGTCATTGACGAAGAGAAGCCGACAGTAATCCCTTTGAACAAATCCTATCGCATCTTTTACCTTCACTTCTCTTTTTTGTATCATGCATGGACAAAAAAAAGCAAATACCGTCGAACGTGCATGTGAGCAGACTAGTAACCACACTATGAGCGCTTCTTGTTTTCCTTTAGCCATTCCTTCCCCTAAGCGTTGATAGACCAGTGGTAAAGACACAAGCCTTTTGATCTCAACGTTGGTGGTTCGAATCCGTTTTGTACCCATTTTAAGTTTTTTGTGTTGCTTCCAACGATCATCATTTTTTGTCAAAAAATACGGAACGACTGACTAAAACGTGCAGTTTTTAATCCTCTCCGAGTTACCGACAGATCTAAGAGAGATAGAACGTACTGAGCTAGTTTTTTTTTCACGACGTTAATGAAAGAGGACTGTCTTCATACGGAATTTGTCATGCGCTGCTTGGAGTGCGACGAAGATAGTATAACAATATTTTTCATCACTGACTTTGCTCTCTCTACGTTGATGCAAGACAGCCCTGTTTCTGAGTGTCGGGTTCAATTCTAAAGTAGTTATTAAAAGTATTATAACGCGAATTTAGCGGGAAATTACTGGACAGTTTTGAAGATAGTTATTCAGAACGGATTATCAAGGGATTTGAGAAGGAAAATTTCAAACGAAAATTTTTATCTAGACGGAGAATTATTAAAAATAATTGAAGAGCGAATTCCTTGTATCCTGCCGAAAGTAAAGAAAATACGAAAAAGTGTTCAATATTTCCGAATCTCGGTAAACTACAGAGATCTACATCCTGGATATAGCTAATTTATCTCTAATAATCTGCAAGATTTCGAAACCAAGTCGAGTTTGAAGATTTCGAGCATATTATTTTTAACGATGCCAAAATTTAAAAAACAAACTACAGTGTGTTCAAGTCTACGGATTTTTAGATTTACTAAGGATCTACGGATGGACCATAAAATTCTACGAATTTTTCAGAATTACGATAATATTTCTCCATATCTACCATACCAAAAGCTCATGATTTTTAAAAAAAGATATGTTAATCTTAAAATTTAAGTGAGCTCACTGTGAATTTTGTGCAGGTTGTTTTTATTTTGGAAGGAGTTCATGGACGTCAATTGATTTTGTACATTTGATTATCAAACCAGTTGAAAATTTAGAATGTGTCCAAAGTAATCCATCTGTCCGACAATGGATCTTGGTCGTTCATTTACTTGATTACACACCATAAAGGTATCCCCATAGACAAACAGACATAACACTCGCAAATTGTTCATCGGACAAGCATTTAACGGTAAATTTAAAAGTATCGTAGTTGGTAGTACCGCCATCTCTGTGTTTGACGTTTATACACTACCGCCATCTGTTCAGCGTACTTCCCACCACAGTATACTCAACAGATGGCTCAAAATCTCAAAATCTGCTATTTATCAATTTTATCTAGATGAACGCGTCATTGGGACTGTACTAATGGATATTTTTGGTCGCTATTGAAAATTTTGGTTAATTTATGTATGGGCCCAAATTAGGGGCATTTAGGCCGACATCACGAGCAAAGTCCAGCATCAAAATGACAGCAAATTGAAATCAAGTTTTGATATTAACATCAAACTGAAATCATAATTTGATTTCAGTTTACGCAATTAACAAATTTGAAACCTAATTTTGTTTTCATTTTGCTGTACATTTGCTCTTCAAAAATATGTTGTTGCGGGTTTGTTTTTATTGCCTTAGCAATACCTCAAATTGAATACTTGTTATGTTATCAACAGGAAAAATGGATATCAAATTTGGTTTGATGATTGAGTAATGATTATCAGCGAAATCACAACATCAAATTTAGATTTCAATTTGATCTCAGATTTTGCTCGGGATTACATCCATTTCCCCTAAGTGGAAGTTTGCATTCACCTGAAAAATGTCCAAATAAGCCCGCCATGATTTCATATACATATTCACTGTCAAGCCATCTTGAATCCGCTATTTTATATTGAAATCCAACATCATGATAAATCACTATGCGGAAGAACTTGGTTACCTGAACAACTTTCCCTAAGACAGCTTTATCCTATATAGTAAGGCTCTCAAAAAATAACATGTTTAGGAAGTTCACACACATACTAGCGCCAGGTTTTGCGACAGTTATGAACTTATCTGACCACCATTCGGAAGGACTTGATCACTTGATCATCTTTGCCCAAGACAACAATATTCTATATGGCCTGATATATGTATGAATGTATAGGAAGTTTCCATGTACACTAGTAACACACGTGGGAGAATTTTTAACCTATCTGACAACCATCCGGACGGACGTTGTCAGCTGAAAACAGCAATACCGTATATGGTCAGGCTCTCGAGATATAACATGTATTTATAGGACGCACATAATCCCACTAGCGCCACGTAGAGGGACAATTATGTACTTATGAGACCGCCATCCAATAGGGAATTGCTGACTTGAACAAAAACGCGATATTCTATGTTGGGATGAAAGTAACTCCTACAGAAATCCTACCTTTGTGGTCGATCGCGCTGTGGTTGCACTTCATGATGGCGTTCACCGCCAGGGCTACGCTCGGGAACTCGACCAGTCCGGAGGAGGAACGTTCCGATTTTAGCGGGAACATTCGCACTTGCGACGGGTGGCAGTCCTTGGTGGTAAATGCAGTCAGCAGCAGATCCTCGGACATACCGGGTGGGGTATTGAAGAAGTGGAGAATCTACAAATCGAGCGCACGCACACACAATTGGTTATTACGTTATGCAAATTCAAATGCCCGCATTCAAGAAGGCGAGAAGCTAAAAGTACCTTGCTCGGTGGCTGAATGCGATTTTTGCTGGCCTGGGTCAACGAAAGGAAGCGATTGTTCTTGGAGGCGCTGTAGTCCTTGAAGCTGATCGAATTGTCCGGCAGGGTGTAGGGGTTGGTGGACTCTGACAAATAGTTCTGTTTGGAAAATCTGCAATGCGAAAAAAATGAGATTACAATCAAAACCGGCCTGATTGGGAAACGAAGAAAAGCAGGGACCGAAACTTACGCAATCTGGATTTTGCTACCATCATTTCCGATTGGAATGTTGTTCAGGTGCTGGATGCTGCGTTCAACTGCGATGGCGTCTCCCATCTGGACCATGGCGGTACCCTCTTTGGTCTTCAGGAACTTTATCTGGAAATCGAAAAAGGAAATCACAATTTTAATTCAACTTTCAAATGAAAAAACGGCAAATCAAGGTGAAACAGGCGGAAAAAATTGAAAGAAAGCAACCGAAACTATAGGAACAAGAGAGGAAATAAACTTTCTGGGCTAGATTGACGATATTATATTCCTGTTGCAAGTGGGTGGAAGGTTTCCCCTTCCTTCGCACACCGAACGACGTTTGCAACAAGTTTTCCTGCTTCCTGAGCGTAGTTTTGTAGAGATTTGCGCTTTCCATCGGAATCACATCTCACAACACAGGAAAATCTGAAAAACCGGAAGCAAGGCACAAAAACGTGCTACGCTGCTGGCAAACTTTTCACTTGAAGCATGAAATTACGATTGCAGAATACATTTCTTTATGCCAGTCTTCTGCCGTTCCCTCGCACCTCATCAAGACAGCCACTTCCGTTCTACTCAGAGGCTCATTGCAATCAGAAGCGGTTTCAGCTTATGGGAGAATAAAGAATAAGGTAATGAACCCAGCATCTAGCGACGCCCATGGGCTTCCAACTGCTCGTTTCTTTACTGAGTTGAAATTTCCCAGACCAAAGAAAAGTTTCTTTGCTTCATCTCATAATTTCTTGCCATGCTTTTCCGGCCAACCAATGCTTCTGCTAAGCTCGTTTCTGGCTTCTTCTTTTTTTCGACCGCGGTGAAATATGAAGGCAGTAGCCAATAATGTTGCTCGGAAAGTGCAGCCCAGCCTCCTTCTTGCGCCGTCGTCATCGCAGCACAATCGCGCGTCGTTCATCCGAACTCCATAACTAATAAATGTTAAAGTCACGCGCGTCGATAAATTCAATATATCGTTTACTTGGGCGAATATTGAAAAGCTATGTTTGTGGTGGAACGGTGGGAGGGGAATACACTTTGGTCCCAACAACAACGGCTGCTACGGAGAGGGAATTTTGCAATATCAATCCTTTTGAAAAAGTGTGACGTTTCCCGGCTGCTATTTATCCGTGGACGTGGGTTGTGGAATGCTTATGTAATGTATTCAAACTTGGCGCAAGCTGGAGTTTTCCAAAATGCAAAATGTATAATGCTGTCCCGAATGAGCGTGCTGTATCATTAATTGCGCGAAATGCTCTTTTCGGTACATTAGGGAAATTCAAGGGAGAGGTTGGTAAGTATATATAGTGTGTGGATCAATCGATTGGTGAACGTCTGGTTCTGTCTTCAATCTGAACCTTTAAACGCCATGAAAAGTAATTAGCCATTGCAATGCATTGCCTAGCATATTAGCTGTGATTAATGACGAAGCTTGCACTCGGTCGAAGTTGCCCAGATTTACTCACGATTTTCTGTAAAAAAATAACTGTCAAACCTACATCAAGCGAGTACATGACTACATGACTCGATGAACACTAGACTGATGCAAAAATTGAAATTTTCGCTCCACAGTGTTCAAACGGTTTCAAATCGGGTCCTGATTAGCCTCCGAAAGTTACTCATTTGATAAGAAACTGACTTGGCACAAACCATTTAAAGTTTATATGGAAATTACTATGAGAATACACAACTTTTTTTTCATTGTCTTCTAGCCTTTTTACATATTGTACTGTTAACAAATTCTAATGCTATTCTTATGGGAATTTTTATCAGCTTCAACTTTGCAGAAAATCGTTTTTCAGCCAAACGTCAACTTAAATAGTTATTAATTGTTTAAGAGATTGATAATCTTATGGCAAGATTAAGCAACTGTATTGTGGGCAACACTGTATTCCGCAGTGTGACATAGTAGCCATTCTACGCGCCATAAACACCAATGTTGCCAGCTGAACTGTTGATTGAGCATAATCATAAGACATCAGTGAGTTGAATCATTTATAATCTTTGTTCCTTACATTTGATCGAAAAGTGGTCTTCGACAAAGTTGTAGCTGAGAGAATTTTCAACTTGTGAATTTTGAGATTGATATGAACCGAAATTATGGTTTCTCCACAGAAATTCCCACATAAACTTCAAATGGTTTGTGCCAAGTAAGTTTCTCACTAAATGAGCTCAAATTTTGGGAGACTAATCAGGGCCCAATTTGGAACCGTTTGAGCACTGTGGAGCGAAAAGTTCAAATTTTGCACCAGTCTAATGAACACCTGTTTGATCCGATTTGCAATTTTCTTTATTTTTGCAGCAAAATGCCTATAATAAATTCCAATTGTAAATATAGTAATGACCCGATTTTGTCAGCCTCTCCATGCATCAGATTTTTATATTTTAATAATTTCACATAATAGTAATTTCAAACCTTTCTCATTAATCTTCAAGGTGGATGATTAAGGAATACTTTGATATTATTTGGTTTTGGTCATATTAGACCACTGAAAAAGCGCATGGGTTTCGTAGAACATTAGAAAAGATTTTAAAAATGTCTCACATATAAATGCGGAACAGGGTCGGCTACATTAACGTCAGAAAAGAGATCGCAAATTATTGCGATCTGTTTCAACTTCTCATTAAACAAAGCTTATGTTGCCTGGTAGCCATGGTGGGAAAGTAACAAAATGGATAGATTTTTTCGGCTTTGGAACTATACATTTTCTAACCACCTAGTTCGCTTTCATATTATGTGGTAACGAGCAGACATACTGAGTTGACTTTTGTTTGTGTGAAATTCGAAGTAAAAATGTATGGAAATTAGACCTGTGCGCCGATCAAAAAAATTTCGGCGGCGGCGTGATATGTTATTTTCTGCCGGCGGCGGCGGCGTGGCGGCGTCACGCCGTTTGCTTTCGGCGGCGGCGGCGTGGGTCGGCGTAAGTTTATTTTTAATGATTTAGAAAAAAAACTACAAGGGACAGCCCAATGGGGTTATTTGTTAACTGCAGCAGGAGCTTGTGTTTTGTGTAGGAATAGGAATTTTAACGTGGTTCTCTCTGTTTATACTCTTTAGTATGACTATGATTGCCCTGAAAAGAACCTTTTGATATGAATTTTAGTTGGGACATGTTCAGAAAATTAACTCTTTTGGAAAATGTTGGTGGCAGCTGCGTATTCAGTGACGGTATCACGGATCACATTTTCTCGGCACACCTTCAGCACACCTCGGGTTTCCTCGTAAATCAGACCGGATCAGAACGGGTGAATCGCAACTAATGCGAAGGTGCAGTTAGCTACCTGTTATATAGACAACCAGCTCTGCCGGTACCATATTTTCTCACTTCCTATTGGCTATACACAGTAACCAATGAGAAGTGAGAAAATATGGTACCGGCAGAGCTGGTTGTCTATGCAACAGGTAGCTAACTGCGCGTTCGTGTGGTTCTGAATATGGCGATGAGTGTGCAAAATATTACATTTATAATATCAACAATATCAACATTCGAACGCATTGTTATCGATGCGTAGCCATATTTCTGATCGATTGGTGATAAAATTATTGAAATTGGACCAGGGGCAGCTGAGTTATTAACGTTCAAAATCTTTCTTAATTTGTTACATGTTCCATTTTTGGTTTTCACAAAGTGTACTTAAGTGTCCTGAGCGCCATCCCTGGCGCAAAGGGCCAACGTGAAAGATCTCCATCCTGGGCGATTGTTTGCTTTCGCCTTGACCTGGGCCCAGGTCAAATTCCGGTCGACTTGCTTAATCTCCTTGTTTAGGCTTCGCCGCCATGAGCCCCTGGGTCTGCCTCTGCTGCGATGTCCGGCTGGATTCCAATCCAGCGCTTGTTTGCAGATTTCATTTCCGCTCTTCCGTAGAGTGTGGCCAACCCACCTCCACTTACGTTCCCGAATTTCTGTCGATATCGGCTTCTGGTGACACCGTCGATGGAGCTCGGCATTCGAAATCCAGTTGTGAGGCCACCAAGCACGAATTATATACCGCAGGCATCGGTTGATGAACACCTGCAGCTTCTGTGTGATCTCCGCTGATACGCACCATGTTTCGCTAGCGTACAGCAGTACAGATTTCACGTTAGAGTTGAAAATTCGGATCTTCGTGCGGAGACTAATCTGATTTGACTTCCAGATGTTTCGTAAACTCGCAAAAGCAGCCCTTGCCTTCTTGATCCGTGCACCTATGTCACTCTTGGTTCCGCCGTCCGACGCTATCTGGCTGCCAAGATATTGGAAACTTTCAACCTTCTCCACTTCCTGACCAGCTACCGTAAAATTGGATGGATTTCCCGTGTTGATATCCAACGATTTAGTCTTGCTGACGTTGATGTTGAGACCTGCCGCTGAGGAGCGTTCGGCGAGATCGTCGAGCTTACTCTGCATGTCAGAACGCCGTTGTGATACTAAAGCAACGTCATCCGCCAAATCTAGGTCGTTTAGATGCTCCATTGTAATAGGCTGCCAGAGCAACCCACGGTTCGGCACACGGTCGATCGCACCAACCATTATCTCGTCGATTACGATGAGGAACAGTAGCGGTGATAGAATACATCCTTGCCTCACTCCAGCGACTACCCGAATAGGGTCAGATAGGGCTCCGTTGTGCAGCACCCTGCACGTGAAAGCCTCATACTGAGCTTCGATGAGGTTGACGATTTTATCCGGAACTCCCTTGCGCCTTAGGGCGCCCCACAGGTTTTCGTGGTTGAGTCGGTCGAAAGCTTTTTCGTAGTCAATGAAAACCAAGTAAAGGGACTCTTGGAATTCGTTGACCTGCTCCAAGATTATGCGGAGCGAGACAATATGGTCCACACAGGATCTTCCAGCACGGAATCCCGCCTGCTGCCGTCGGAGAGTCGCGTCGATCTTCTCCTGTATCCGGTTGAGGATAACTTTGCATAGAACTTTGAGAACACAACACAGTAACATAATGCCACGCCAGTTATCGCATACAGTTGGGTCCCCCTTCTTTGGGACCTTCACTAAGACGCCCTGCATCCAGTCAGCCGGAAAAGTCGCGGTGTCCCAGATATTGCAGAATAGTTGATGCAACATTTGTGCAGATAGCATGGGGTCAGCTTTGAGCATCTCTGCTGATATGCGATCGACCCCGGGAGCCTTGTTGGA